ATTTTCCCTCCTACTGACATGTGAAGACCATAAAAAAATTAAAGGATATACAATAGAAAGTCACATATCATTTTCCAATGAAATGTGAACTTTTTTTGTATAATAGGAGGCAATTCTTTTCCATGTTTAATTATCTTTTAGTAATGTCTGCCTTCTTCACTGTCACAAATAAACCTCTTGGTTGAATGAAAAAAGCAGTTTGAAATATTTTCTTGCTTGAAAATCCACACACATTTAATCCTTAAATTCTTTTTAAGAATTTCCCTGATACTTTTCTGCATTGATCTTTCCTTCAATTATATGAACTTACTGTAAAAACTTATTTTTTGACATACTGCTTTTGGGGTGATGTGCTTACAAAAAAAATTTTCCTCCAAAGCTGCTGTTGTTGGATTCCAGTTTATGGGGTTATGCTACGTTCAAACCAAAAGCAGCAAGAGCAGCAAAACCTGTGTGCTGCTTCATTTTTTATGCTTGTACAAGTTTAGTTCTGGTAGAAAAGTGAGTCTGATGCTCGGTGGGCGGAGCAACCCTATCCTTTCTTTGTCTGTAACAATGGCAGCTATATATGCTGTGATCAGTGGGAATAAAGTAGTTTTAATATGTTTTTAAGTGAGAAAGTCCACATTAAAACTACATCTGTGCAGTCGGTTCATGCAGATTACGATCCTGCCTTCAACTATTTGGTGTGAATGAAATTATGCTGTGTTCACACCAAACGCAGCAGGAGCAGCAAAAAAACACGTCTACTGCTTCATTTTTTATGCTTGTACAAGTTTAGTTCTGACACGCAACAGGAGCAGCAAAGCTGCTTCAGCTGCGCAATTTAGGCGTTAATAAACTGTTTCAGAGGAGTGATCATAGTAATCTGTATCATCAGCGATGTGTCTGTCTCCCTGCCAGCTCCCAGATCAGCTTCTCTGATTGGTTGATGTGGCGCGTCGAGCAGCAAAACCTACATTTTTCCATCTCGAGCAGCAGCGTCAAATGCTTTAATGCTCCAGACATGCTACTTCAGCTGCGTAGACGCATTGCTCCTGCTGCTCAAAATGCACAGCAGGACATTTTGCTGCGCCTTGACGGGTGTCAAGCATTGATTTTGCATGTAAACTAGCTGCTCCTGCTGCCTCTGCTGCTTTTCGTGTGAACGCAGCCTAAGTTTGTTTTTCAGTTCCACCATTTGTGCACCAGGGGGTGCCATCTGGTTACTCTGTCTTGGAGGGCTTGCCTACAGTTTCAACTATCCATACCTGCGAAGAATCATCATCTAGCCCCTCTGAGTATTTGACGAGTGAAGCTCTGATCTTTTGAAGGTTTTTTTTATGCTCTTACCTTTTTTGTTATTGTGATTGTCTGGCAGGAAACCTTCAGTTCCTCTGGGAATTTTCCAAGTCCTTCCAGTCCTGGAAGAAATCCCCTAATGTCTCGTCCATCTTCAACCAGCCAATGCCGTCCACCGCCCCACAAATTGGACACACGTACCTCCCTCCAGTTCTGACAGCTGGCATAAGTAAGAACCCAGCATCAATTTTCTGCAATTTTGCCCACCAACTGTGATCTCACCTTTTCTCTCTCTCCTTGTGTGCAGTCGCACCTGGATTCCTAGCCGCTGGTCCCACCAAGCTGTGTTAACCTGGTTTCTGTGTTTTCCTTAACAGTAAATTAACATTCTCACTTTAACAATCTCTCTCAGTGTTTCTGACATGTCAGTGGGCAAAAAATATAAGACCCACCATGACAGATGTAAGCAAACCGCTTAGCTTTGGTTTGTCTGACCTCTTTATTCTACAGGAATTTCACTTACTAGCAACAATAACAAACTGAAAAGCTCTTGTTCGAGTACATGACTTATTGTTTTTGTGCCAAAAACTGTTTCTGCTATGTCCCTGTCTTTCTGAAGCACTTGTCATGGGATCCTGTTGGCTATTGTTTCAGCTTTCCTTATTATTCTTGACTTCTCTGTTGGGAATTTTGCAAAGGGCTCCAGGCCATAGCTTATTTATGGCGAAGTTAAGTTCATACCACATCCACATTATGGCTTTGTGGAAAATTGAGAAGTTAAGAAATGCTGATATCATTGTCATAAGTATGTTTAGCAATGATAAGACTGATTATAAGGTTTTTTTTTTTTTGGCATTCTCTCAAAACTTAGTACTATACAATATACCATAAAAACCACACAATAGTGAATTGTGTCACATATATTAAACCCTGAATCACAAGTTATGTGGTGGAACTGCTAATCAGACTTTATGTATCCCAAAGGAAACTTAAATGTTGCACTATTTTTTTTTATTAAATTGTTGTTGGTGTTAATTTTTGGCAGTATCGGCCTGTCTTAAACAGAATCCGGAGAAGCCTCTTATTGAAGACACTTTGTTTAAAAATGTTTTGAAAAGGATACTCACTGTTGTCCATAATCTCATTCACTTTTTAAAAAATTTCCTTTTAGAAATTATCTCCAGAGGTTCTATAGGAGTTCCTAGAACAGAGCCAGCCTTCTTTGTTAGCTCGTTGACCTTTTTTTAAGCCATATTCTCTGATGCAATTACCTCAGCAGATGGAGAAAGAGATCACACTCTCAACAACAGACTTGTGTAAGATATTAAGATCATGTTGCAAATGCTGGAGGACCTAAGTAAAATCTGCTCTGTTGTTTCTTGTAGATGGGTTCACACTTGCATCCCCAGTCAAGTTTATTGTTGAGATGAATACCAAAGTATTTATCCTGTTAAAACGCATGACAATTACAACAGTAACATTTTGAACAATATAGACAGGTTAGACATCCTTAGAAAACCTACGTTTTCCACAATTCAATCACCAAGTTCATTTTATGGACACAGCGAGAACCAAAGGACAATAACACAGATATAGCAGCATTTGATAATGTAAATGACAAAGAGCCACAACAACATACCTTTGAAGGCGTCCAGAAACCGTGTTATAAATCCAGTCTTTAATTGTTTGTACTCCTTTCGTTCCATAAGGGTCGACAGAATAAAAGTGATGCACCATATTTATAATAAAAACATTCCAGGATGAGAGAATCGCCACATAACATCCGATTTTTGACATCAGAAAAGTTGCCTGGTCATAGCTAATGCTTAGCTTCTTGCTAATAAGACTCAAATGTGTGCTTGTGATGTTTTTATTTTTACATCGTGTTCCTACCAACAAGACAAGCGTCTTGAGTGAAGGCCTACAGCTCGGTCCGGTTTTCTGCAGACCACGACTTCGGTCCAGTCCGTCCGTCCAACAGCAACTCAAAGAGATTTGGAACAATCCGATGCAACAATAAGAGGCAATTTGTAAGGGGATTAATTTTATAACTTACAGTAGCTGCAGCCTCCTCGCTGCTGCTCCGTATCTCCGTCTCAAGCAGTCACGGTCTGGCGGCTTCTAACGGCTCCTTCAGTGAAAAGGGATCGGGGGCCCTTTGTTCAAACTCTTCTCTTAGTCTGCCACAGCATGATTCAGGATACAATGCGTTCACTTGGTTTGAATCGCAGGAGGAATAAAAACACTGCATTCAGCTCCTTCTGAATCGCAGGAAAGGGGCAGTCTGACTCGGTCCAGCGAGCGCAGACTTCTCTGGAGGGATTTGGTTGCTACTTTGTGTAGCCTTCAGCTGCAAGCGCTTTGTCTAGCCGTTTAGCGGCACAGAGCCACTGGCCAAATAGGAACCTATGCCAGAGGGGTGTGTCTTCAGAGGGGCGTAGTTACGGTTTCATCAGTAACAATGGATCGCAACATTAGGCATTAATAAACTGTTTTAGAGGAGTGATCATAGTGATCTGCATCATCAGTGCTGTCTGTCTCCCTGCCAGCTCCAAGACCCTGATTGGTTAAATATTGGTTACATATATGTATATATATATATCAGTCAATCATCTGATGAAAATTAAATAAAGTGGAAAAATACTTGCTTCATAAATGTTTTGTGGCCATCAAAATGATTCAGTGTTATTCAATGGGTCAAATTGCACAATTGGCACAATTCGGCACATTTGGAGAGGTTTGGAGATGCTGGTGACACCAAAAGTTCAAAGCCCCACATCTCTGGAACTGTTGTAGGTAATGGTCTGAATGTTTTCGACAGTTGGGGTTGACATGATGTAGAAAAATGTAATACAATGAGACATAACCATTCTCAAGCATGTCTTTATTACTGCTGTTCAAAAAAGACCTTTTATTGTCGAGAAGGAAAAAATAACTTTGAGTCATTATTTGAAATTATGCTTTTTAGGCTAGGTTTTGGGTACACTATTTTCAGAAACTAGAAGGTGTTAGCTTTCAGATAATGTATGACACATATAATTTGGGCTTACAGTTCCTTAGTTATTTGTTTTTCCACTTGGGTGTCATGATCAGGCAGGATTTCTAGCCCAAACGCAGAACTCACAGACACAGAGAGGCAGGTTAAAAGTCCAATTGTTTATTGGAAAAACCAGACAGGGTTTCTCCTGGGGAGCGGAGGAGACAAAGCAGGTTAGGTTCAGGTACAGGTTCACGGAGTCAGAACAGGCAGGATGGCTCAGGCTTGCTAACCACAACAGGGAACAAAAATCCAGCTCAGAGGGAAGCTCTCCTTCAGCTTAAGTAAGGAGAGCTTAATGAGCAGATGGGGATCAGCTGCTTCAAAACGAGCACAAGCTCTCAGGATAGGATCCACGGCGCCCTCAGGAGGGCAAACCTCTGGATCCCAACATTGGGTATGCAAAATAGGCGAGGATTACTTAAATTAGGTGGGGTTTACTACCCCTTTTCACATTAGCTTCATTTTTTGTTGTCTTCAGCTTGAAATATGGTCATGGAGGAAAAGACCTGGGTGATATGCTCTGTCTCATTTTTAACAACCTTAAATTATTTATGCAGTACAGACCAAAAGTTTGGACACACCTTGTCATTCAAACAGTTTTCTTTATTTTCATGACTATGAAAAATTTAGATTCACACTGAAAGCATCAAAACTATGAGCTAACACATGTGGAATTAGATACTTAACAAAAAAGTGTGAAAAAATGGAAATTGTAGAAATGTCTTATTTTCAAGCTTTTTAACATATTTTCTGACTAGATAAGTCAGAACATAAAGAAAATAATAACATACAACCAAGTACAGTGCGTTTTGCAATAGCTTAATGGTCATTACTCATTTTCACAAGTTCTGAAAAAGTATTTATTGCAGAAGTGCTAAGTAAAATTACCATTTCCGTTTTGGAAATCATTTGAGAGATACATACCAAATGTCATAAGAATAGTAATGTCTTACTTATACAGACTTCGTTTTTGTTTAACACTATCAAAAATAGCTTGAAAGACAGTAGCTTTTCTTCATTGCTTTTCTTAATTACTTTACACATTGGCATATATTTGATCATCCCCGAAATTCTGCAAAGAAATCATGAAATTAAGTATATTCATTCATGCATGGTAAAATAAATAAAAGACAGAAAAGAATACCTACCAGTACATTGCCATAAATATAATTCGGACATATTTCAGAAATGGGTGAATCGTTGCAAAACTCTTTCCTGGAGAAACAAAGTAAATAGTGAACACATGTAAGAGTTGACAAAAATGTGCATGCACATTTAAAGCAATTCTAAATTAAATGGATAGTAGATGTTTTATTCTGATGTGTCTAATAAGAACCTTTTTGAGTTGTAGTGGGGTTTCCAAGCGCTTTGTGTCACCATAGTGTTCCTGTCTGACCCTGAAGTGTGACAAGGCGTACCCCTGCTGGAGAAAAAAGATAAAAACAACTGAAAAACCACTATTTTGACAATAATAAATGGTTTGCTTCTTTGATAGAAATCTTATCTTCAATATAGCTTTAACTTCTTAACTTGAATTAGATAACTGAAAAAGCCTAACGCAGAAAAAACTTTGACAGTTACATCAAAATAATAATATTGATAATAATATTAATAAGGCTTAAAATAAAATCAATATAATTTTGGTGCAAGGACCAAGTTAGGAATTGAAATGACTCAATTTAGTGACAGAACTTTTTAAATGAGCATTAAGTCCTTCAAAAGACAGTAGTAATAAGTTTCATCACCCAAAAAGATGGCAAATCTAGAAGTACTCAAAAGACAAATATCTGATGCATCCAAAGCATTTGAGAGTTTGAAAATACTAAGAATCTAAAAAAATAAGAGGTAACTTTAGCATGGCTTTTTTACAAAAAAATACAAGTGCTCCTTTCTCCTCAGGCTGAACATCAAGATACAATATTTTGAAGTACAGCATGTTCTGGTATGTGCAATAATCTATAAATAAACTGTAAAGGCTGATACACAATTTTAAAAATAAACTGTGAGGAAGAAGCATGCGTATGAATAATGCAATTTAAAAAAAGAAAATTCCAAAAGTTTGCCTTAACAATGACTTTTCTGACTGATAAACTAAGACAGGTCCTGTGTCAAAAATAAAAACCAAAAGTGGCGTTGTAGGTACCACTGCTGCCTTGCAGCAAGAAGGTTCATGGTTTGACTTCCGGCCCTAGTTTGCATGCTTTTCCTGTGCATGCATGGGTTCTCTCCGGGTACTCCGGGTTCCTCCCACAGTCCAAAAACATGACTGTTAGGTTAAATGGATTCTCTAGATTCTCCTTGAGTGTATGCGTGAAATGTTGTTTGTCTTGTTAGTCTCTGTGTTTCTCTATGATAGACTGGCGACCTGTCCAGGGTGTACCCTGCCTCTCGCCTATGGGCACCTGGAGGCACCAGTACTCCTTGCGACCCCAGCTGGGATAAAGCGTGAAAGAAAATGGATGGATGGAAGAAAAATCCTGTATTTTTAACTAAATGCTACATAGACATTCAGAAAGAAATTCCATTATAGACTCAAAACCCTGATACCCAAATATGATACTCTCTTGATAAGGTCCTCCCTGAATGTAAAAATAGACATAACATCTACGTTTAATGTTTAGCTGGAAATCAGTGTAAATATGCTTGATTTACATAAACAATGAACATTAACCTCTTAAAACCCACCTGCGACACCTTAAGTGGGAATAAAAATTCAGAATGCATAAAATTCCAACTGTAATTTTTTTTTTACCAGCAGGTGGAGCCATTGCACGCAGCTCCAAGCTGACACCAAAAGTTCCAAATCCCACAGCTCTGGAGCTATTATAGCTAGAGGTCTCAAATTTTCTACATTTGTTGTTGACATGATGTAGAACAAATATAATACAATAAAACCTGCCTTTTCTCAAGAATGTATTTCTTACTGCTGTTTAAAAAAAGAACCTTGAGAAGGATTTCCGAGAATAGAAAAACAACAACTTTGAGTCATGTTTGAACTGATGCAGGTTGGTCTGTGTTCTTGTCACCCAATTTGTATTTATATATTAGGAAAATAGAGCGTGTTAGCTTTCAAATAATGTATTGCAGATGTAATTTGGGCTTACCGTTTGTAAGTTATTTGCTTTTCCATTTGGGTATGCAAAATATGCGAGGAATGCCCAAAATGAGGTGGATGTTAAGAGGTTAAGTGACTGAAGCATGGATGAGCAGAAAGGCACAGAATCAGCCGAGCTGGTTAGAGCATAGTGTTATCTGCATAAAATAGACTAGGTCATAAATCTTTAGTCTAACTAAAAGGTATCAACTAAAATATAATGAAAAAAGAAAGATGGTTCTCATGTATAACATTGATTGCATGCAGACTTAAAAAAAAATGGAAATATGTATTTTTTTGTTTACCATTTCTTAATTACTATTACTCCAAGTAAAATCATCACCAAAAACCCTGCTGCTCCAATTGCAATGAAAATGTAAATCTCCATACCTGTCAAGACAGAAATACCAAAAAAGACAAAATATGTTTATTCTATTCACAGTGTATGGGGAATCTGATATCTTGAAATTAAATAAAATTTCATACCGTCATGAAGAAAGAGTTTGAGGCTAGCCTTGCCTAGCTTGTTTTCTGCCCAACACTGCACAAACGTGGAAGACTTAACGTCTTTCCAAGGGATCATTATGACAAAAGAACTATCATTCATTCTTGTAGCATTGGGAAGAATTTGGTCAGAAAGTTTAAAAGTGACTTCACTTGGAGGATTGGAGTCTACAACACATTGACATTTTACATTGTTGCCCTGTGAGAAGCATGATGACTCAGTCTTTACCTCAGGAGCATCTGTGAAGATAAAGCATTTAATTCTAAAATGCAGTTGGAGTCAGCAATGTATAGCTCATGTAATATTCTATTTACGATACAAAAAATATATTTATTTAATTATGTCTGTTAGTTTTTACTCACACAGAACATTGAGCTGCGCAGGGCTTGATATACCTTGTCCCTCTTCATTGACGGCAATACAGTACAATGCTCTTATATTTCTAGAAACTTTTGTCACCATGTAAAGGTTTCCCTGAGAGATATTTGCACCGGTTTCACTGTGCCAATGATAGCTAGTGACAGGAGGGTGAGCTTCACTGGAGCAAATCAGACTCACATTTTCTCCTTCCATCACAGTTGAATTGTACTCTACCTTCACGTTCACTGGTGCATCTGCACAAAAAAGACAAAAACAAGAATGCCACTTTATCAATATATAGAAAGTTTGAAATCAAAATCAAATCAAAGTTTATTTATATAACACTTTACAACAACACCAGGAAGACCAAAGTGCAGGGGCGTCAGCTGATCCAATACTATAGAGGGGCACAATAGCCCACTAAAAAATATGCTCGCACTTGAGAATTTTTTTTTTGGGGTAATTATTTATTATTTATTTTAAAAATGCATGGGCACAGATAATTAATGCAAGCACGCAAGCAAATATTTTATAGCACTTATTTATTATTATAAAGCATCATAAATAAATTGTACAATAAGATTGTTATTTTCTGCATCATTAAATATCTACCTGAAACAAGATGAATTGAACTGGCTATGTGAATTTAACTGTATATCTCTAATCCACTACTGATGGAGGCACAATTTATTTTCATGAAATATCTGTCAGCAACAATGAACCTGAAAACTTGAAATGTGCAACTGTAAAATGAAAAAACAAAACAAAAAAACCCTCTACATTCATGCATGTTTGTGTTTATCATTTCTATTTTGGCCAATCCTATGATGGTGTAATAGTGATGATCCTATGATGTGTGTATATCATTGCCAGAAAGATGGGAGAGCTGTATGTTCCTTTTTTTAACAGTAAACTGTAGTGTCTCGGCCAGTGGCGGCTGGTGGAGTTTTCTCCAGAGGGGGCTATAAAGTCAAAACAGACGTATAACAAAAACCAGTCAAACGTATAATAAGTTATCACACCAGTATATTTATATGAATGCCAACAACAAAAAACATTAGAAAAACAAATTATAATTTCATGAACAGCTTTACATTTTGTGCATAAATCTTGCCCTTCTGAGGCTTTGTGAAGGTAAATCTGTGTTTTACATGTTCCAATATGTCACAAACCTAAAAAAATAATTTACCAGTTTAATAATGGAGAATCTATTAGTCAGCTTTATATTTTTATAACCGGTTTTAGCAAGAAAGCTTGGCAAGCTTGGCGAGGTTTCCCTGCCACCTTTTTCAAACATCAGGATCTGACCAAGCATGGATAAAGACATGTAGGACTGATTACAGTTTTTTTGGATTGCTTACACACTAAAGTTAAAAGCAGTACGCTATTAGCAAAACCTTACACTCAAGAAGCAAAACATCAGCCCATATTTGCACAACTATAAGCACATTGTCAACCTCACACTTGTTGCAAAACTCTACACACAGTGATTTGCAAAACACTAAACACACTTAACATACATTACACACAAAAATCTATTATGAAGTCACTTCCTTGCAATAGCAAAGCACTGACTGTCAAATTACCACACCTTCCAACCAATTGATTCAACACAGTCATCAGGTGTGCAAACACTTGTTTGCTTAATTGAAGACACACCAATCAGGTGTATAAGCACTATAAAAAGCAGCCGGTGAGTTCATCGGTCTTCAAGCACAATGGAAAGAGTCAGAGAAATAGTAAGACGAGGTGGAGGACAAGGCGGAGGAGAAGGAGGGGGACAAGGACAAGGAGGAGGACGACAAGGAGGAGGAGAAGGACAAGGAGGAAGAGGAGGAAGGGGAGGAAGAGGAATCAACAGAGGAGGAATCAACGGAAGAGGAAGAGATGGAGGCCATGCTGGAGGTAGAGGAAGAGGAAGACAAGAACGTGCTCAAAGAGGAACGAATCTGACAAATGAGATCCGCGCAACACTGGTTGACCACGTTGTCAACCACGGCCTGACGCTGAGGGAGGCTGGACTGCGAGTACAGCCAAATCTAAGCCGATACACAGTGGCAAGTGTGATAAGAACATTTCGACTGGAAAATAGGTATTGTAAAAATATCATCATATCAAAAACATCTGCACGGTTTCAGCAACTGCTTACAGTACTGTATTCTATGCACTATCAGCACTTCTGTTACCTTTTCCTGTGAAATACTGTACTATTGTTTACTGTTTTTTTTCTACATAGGATTGAGGGTCAGGAACGATGAGGGGGAAGGCCTCCTATGTTCACAGAACAGCAAGAGAGGGAGATAGTAAACATGGTTTTGGCCAACAATGCTATAATCCTCAATCAGCAACAACATTGTCAATAACCACGTCGGTTTCAGCAATATCCATCAGGTCTCAACATCAACACTGGCAAGCATCCTAATAAAAAAAACATATTCAAATGAAGAAAATTTATCGAGTGCCTTTCGAGCGCAATTCCGAAAGAGTGAAATGACTACGGCATGATTATGCAGAGGTATGTATTCACCTAAGCATTGTGATCTTGCATACTGTCTCATAATCTTTTATGGTACTGTAATATGTATACTAGATCTACACTGAACACAATTTTGCCTGAGACTGTTCTACAGAGAGTTTTACAAATGGATGGAGAGGAGATCCAGCATGAGTTTATCTACGTAGATGAGGCTCGGTTCAACCTGACGAAAACACGAAGGAGGGGAAGAAACATCATTGGCCACAGAGCTATAGTCAATGTCCCAGGGCAACGTGGGGTTAATATAACACTCTGTGCAGCCATTACACAGAATGGGGTCCTCCACCACCATGCCCATATGGGCCCTTACAACACAGCACTCATACTTACATTCTTGGACCAATTGCACAACATGACAGCAGCAAATCAAATTGATCATATGCAATACATTGTTGTCTGGTACAATGTGTCTTTCCACCGCTCTGCTCTGGTTCAGAACTGGTTTCAGCAACATCTACATTTCCTATATCTTCCACCATACTCTCCATTTCTCAACCCTATGGAAGAGTTTTTCTCGGCATGGCGGTGGAAGGTGTATGATCTCCGTCTCCAGGCTGAGGTACCTCTCATCCAAGCCATGGAGGAGGCCTGTGACCAGATGGAGGTAGCAACAATGCAAGGATGGATTCGTCATTCAAGACGTTTCTTTCCAAGGTGTCTTGCTAATGACAACATTGCTTGCGATGTTGATGAAATTCTCTGGCCAGATCCAGCTAGGCGAAGAGACAATGTCTAGTTTTGTTTTTTTAAAGTAAACTTACAGTACAATACGTAAAGTGACATTTTGTTACAGTATTATGAATCTCCATGTCAACATTTTGGGCGTGTTGAGAAATAAATGAGTTTCTTCAGTCTGCAACATTGGTCTTGTGTTTGGTGAATTTACATTATATTTGTACTTTGTTGATGGTAGCCAACTCTAATCATAGGGAAGTAGAAGTGCTAAAAGTGTTTTAGGTTTATCACAGCAGAGTGTAACTCGTGCAAACAGAGTATGGTAATGTAAAACGTGTGAGTTTCATATGGTAACAAAGTGTGGTTTTTAAACAGAAGTGTATAGTTTTTACAAGAGTGTTTAATTATGCAAAGAATCTGTAGTGTTTTGCTAATTGGGTGTATGGTTGTACTAATTGTGAGTAGTGTTTTGAAAACACGGGCTCTGTTTTGAAAATCGTGCTTAAGCAATCCAAAAAAACTGTGCTGAAAATCTGAGCACTTTGCAGAAAAGGCAAAGAAGAATAAACAATCTGGGACTCACATGGAAAATAGAATATGGTTTACTTTTTCTAGACTTTTGTTAATTTGCATAATTGCTCATAAATAAGCACATTGTCAGAAAATAAAGTTTTTATATATTAAAAAAATATAAAGCTCCCTAATAGATTCTCCAATATTAAACTGGACAGAACAATATTCACACATGCACAGCACAATCCGCAGATGCGCAGCACAATCTACACATGGACAAGAAAATATCACACATGCACCAACACATCTAAATATGCACAGCACAATCTGCACATGCACAGCACAATCTGCACATGCACAGCACAATCTGCACATGCACAGCACAATCTGCACATGCACAGCACAATCCACAGATGCACAGGGCAATCTACACATTGACAGGACAATATTCACACATGCACAGTACAATCTAAACATGCATAGCACAATCTGCACATGGACAGGACAAGATCTACACATTCACATAGAAATTCAAGCAAACACATAAAAGCTAAAGCATCCCCTGCTGTTTCCTGCTGTGAATGCACCCTAAAAGCTCTAAGGATGTCACCCAGCATCTTTAGGATTCAGATGTCAGTTTCTTTCTATAACTTACTTTTTGTAATTTTTTTTTTTTAGACCTTCTGCAGTCATGTGTTTCTGTTCCCTTACTTTATAAGCATCTGTTTCTTTAATGACATTTTTCTTAGTCGTATGACTCGATGAATATGGTAATTAGTTATTATACAACACAGAAAACTCTAATTCAAACCACATAACTCTAAGGCCCCTCCTATTCAATATATACATGCTCCCCTCAAGTCAGATTATAGAAAACAATATCAGTTAACATAACTATGCACGCGACCACAACTGTACATCAAAATGTCACCATGTGACTATGACCATTTTAGAGCTTTGGCTAGATGCTTAGAACAGATCAATACATGGATGTGCTACTACGCCTAGAAACCACTGATAATGGCCAAAATCTTGGTGTTACTATGTATTCTGAACCTTCAGAAGCACATAAAGGAAGCTACCTTTAAAGGCCGATAAAAGGCAGCCTTTTATGACCTTATAAACAATTACAGGATTAAAGGAATAATGTCCAATAAAGGTCTAGAAAACGAATGCCTTCATTTATCTTTAGTAGAATTGACTATTGCAACAGGTTCTTCATAGGTTTGCCTAAAAATTCTGAAGCTGATCCAAAACGCTGCTGCCCGTGTTCTCTAGAACTAAGAAAGTAGAGCACATCAACCCGGTTCTGAGGTCTTTGCACTGGCTCCCTGTAGTTTGGATAATAGACTTCTGTTAGTCTATAAATCACTGAATGGATCAGCACCTCAATACAAAACAGATTTGTTGTCAGTGTATCAATCTTCCAGTCCACTCAGGTCTACTAATTCAAGCCTACTCCACTCACCCAGAACTAAAACCAACCATGGAGAAGCAGCATTTAGTTCCTATGCTCCACGTATCTGGAACTAGCTCCCAGAAGAAAGTAAAAGAGCTGAAAGCCTGAATTCATTTAAGTCAAAGGTAAATATCCATTTTTTTTTTAGAGCTGTCTTAAGCTGTTGAAGTTTAATTGTTAACTGAAGTATTATTAGTTTTTGTTTGATGTCCAGGTGTTTTAAATGTTTTACTATCTTCTTTTGTCATGTTTTTGTCATGTTTTTATCTACTTTTACTCAGCTCCTATTGTTCTTCTATTTTATTCTTTAATTTATGCAAAGCACTTTGAATTGTCCATGTACTGATTCGTCCTCTACAAATACATTTGCCTTGCCCAAATCTATAAATACTTACATCTTACTTGAAGGATCTCCTGTTTTTCCTGTACTTTTCCTCCGTTGTATTTTACACTGCATTTCAACGCCTTGTTGTGGTCATTATGAGTCAGGCGAAAATTCAGAATCGCTGTTTCCTTCCACTCTCCATCATTTAGCTGTTGGGAATGATACGTTTTCTTCCCAGAGTGACTCCATGTGAAATGGGGTGGACTTGCAGGGCAGGTATGAAACACAGAGCAGGATGCAGAAAGATTGTGCCTCTCCTTAAAGTCCCCACTGACAGAGAATTGGATGGGATTTGGCTCACCTGTACCAGAGAGATTACATAGACTATCAGAATGATTAAGGTTCAATAATCACATAAAATAAAGAATAATATTACACAATCTGCTGATAATGTAATGCCCCTAATCAATTTTTACTTGATTTCATATAAAACAAAATACATCTTCATGGTTTCTGAAACAGCCTGAAGCTTTCAAATGACAAAGACACATTTAAGATAAATGTAGAATGAAGGAACATAAGGCGAGCAAATTACTTTTTCACAGAAGTTTCCTCAACATTCAAGTTTTAGTTTTGCTACACATTTCATTAATTTAATGATTGCTGCTTCAAATATATGTTGATCATTTTCCTCATGAGTTCAGTTAGAACAGATTTCATGTCCTTCATTTGATGCAGTAGTGAAATACTTTGGTTCAATGTCTTGAAAGAGGTTAATGAGAATTTAAATAGTGGGTAAGAGGCAATTGCGTTGCAAAATATTATACAGAAAAGCTCCGCGAGGTCTAAAAAAATTAAACTGAGTGTCTTTTGAGCTATCATCAGAATAAGTTTAATCTCCAAAGGATTGCAAATATGTAAACAATCTTTCTGTCACATTGATTATCTCCTGCAAGATATCAATGACATTTAGATATGTTGTTTGTCACTATGAAATTTGTTAGCTTTAGTTTCCAAGCCATTTCCTAATTCTTATTGTTTTTGTCTGAAGATTTTTCAACCACAAAAAGATTTAAAATTGTGCAAAAAGATAAAAGAAATGAAGATGTTAATATAGTGTAAAACATTAAGTAAGAGCTAAATAAAAAGATAAAATGTTAAATTTATACCTGTAAACATTAAATACAAAGAAAGCAAAGCTCATGAAAAGTCAAATATTTTAGAAGCACCAAAATTGGAGAGAAGTTTAATTTCTGTTAATTTCTTAAATAAAAATATGAGCTACTTACTTATTGCTGAAATGGAAACCATACTTTTATAGTAGTAGCTGTCATAGTCCTTAATTTCAATTCTGAAATCAAAAGGCCCCGTGTCTTTTTCTTGAAGGTCAACGATTTTCAGAGAGCAGTTCTTTTCTTTAAGATCTCCAACCAGCTCAGTTCGACCCTTATACTGGGATGACACCTTTTGAGATACTTTTGAGTGAAAAACTACACCATTTGGGTCATACCAAATCCCAACAGAATCATAATTACGTCCTTTATCAGGGAAGTTAAATGAACAGGGGATAACCACACATGAGCCCAGAAGACCTTTAACTGAGGCTGGGGATTTGGATGTCCAGGAGGTTTCACTTTCAGACCCTGTAAAATAAATAGAAATATATGATATATGGTAGAATGATGCCACAATTCAGTGTACTGTACGAATAAACTGCACTACAATAAAATATGCTAAACAATTCATATAAGACTGAAAAAAAGCTGCATCACATATTTCATAACATAAGTTACATAGAATGTGCCTTACCTTTCAAATAAATAAAAAAGCAAAAGATAAGCAATTTGGAAGCACCCATCTCACCTTCTTAGGGCTAAAACGGAAATAAGAGATTTAAGGGAAATGTGAGCTAAAGCTGCCTCTTTATTCTTGTGACAGATGAATCATATTTCCTGTTCCACTTGTAACAACCCCCCAGTCTACTATCTCACTCATATGTGTATATTTATCATCTAAGGGTGTGAGTATCATGCTACCAGCTTTTTATTTAAAGCTACAGTGTGTAATAATTACAGGGATATACAGTCAGAAATGTAATATATTATACATAACTATGTTATTTTATCATCTATGAGCTCAGCCTCTTAACCTTAATATTTGCGTTGCCTTAGAATTCGTTATTTATAATTACATAGGAGCGGGTCTCGCAGCCATGGAGGCAGACATCTTTGCGCTACGGCAGCGCAGAGCCAACAAACTAGCGATTGCGAGATCGCCAAAATGTCACAACGATGTAGAAAAAATAACAGGTATATTTATTATCTTAAGTCTACATGAAATCTATACCCTACACAGACTAATGAAATAATATCTGTAAAATTATCTATGTAAACAAACCTCATCACTTGAGAAGGTAGGTGATGCGGACGTCGTGGAAGACATTTTGTCCCGTAACGCTCGCCGTACTGTTGGGGGGGAGAAGCGGTGGGGGGGAGATGTTCATGTTGCTGCAGTCTGCAGGCTGACCGCTAGATGTCGCTAAAAGTTACACACTGTAGCTTTAAGACTTACCGGTATTAAAGTATTTGAGGAACTTCTATATTTTCAAATTCTACAGTCAAAAGGATATTAAAAAATAAGATATAGCCTTCACTGACCCTCCTAATGTTTAGAAAGCTCTGTCCATGTCATGGTTCTGCCCTTTGTGGATTTCTCTTTGAGTTTCTTTTTGGGTTTTCAGTTACACAGTGATTTTGTGGTTTCTTGCCAATAAGTTTATTTCTTTCAGTTTTGTGTCATTGTAGTTGTTTTCTAGCAATACTGTGTTTTTTGTGCTGCTATCTGTTGCCCCCTTGTGCAAGTCTTCTTTCCCCTAGCTTCTAGTTGCTTCTATCGACACCTGCTCCCTTTCACCTGATTAGCCTAGTCTTTCTTTTGTCTGATATATACGCCTCCTCTACGTTACTCATCATGTGTGTTCTTCCTGGCGTCTCCTGTTTTTTGGTTTCCTGTTTATAATTTTTGGAATTATGTTTCCATTGCCATTCATTTATAAATGAAATCTTGGTTTTGGTCCTCAACCAACCTCCACACAACCTTGACAGTCCATGATCTCACCAAACTGATAACGCATGCCCCATTGTGATTAGACACCTTAAAGCCATGCTGGATTCACACAAAGGCTTAGGTCTAATAATCCTCACATAATACAGACTGAGAAACAGTTGATTTGCTGACAATTTTCAAAAATGTTCTACTATGGGCTTGGGGTCCTGCCACTGCTATAGCTGGAAAGAAATGTATTTACAATATCGCTGAAATTAACACTTAAACTATTTCCAAACAAAGCTAAACAACATCCGAAAGCCCCCCTAGAATTAGAGGTTGGTTTACCCACCATGCTGTCCATGGTCAAGAGAAAAAGCACTGTATGGCCTTTCCTAGTAAACAAAAATGAGCTCTTCTATCAAGCTTTTTGTTCTCTGTGTGTGTGTGGGTTTATGTGTATGAATGCATCAGTTCTGGTACACAAAGCGGAAATTCCGACCATTTCTGCTGGCTCACTCTTCTCTTTTCTTCTAACTCTAAGCTTCAGGGTTTTATTTTAGGTCCACTGAGGAGGAAACAAAAGTATCTTGTTTTGTTTCAAGTTTTCACAGTTAATGTTTTAAAATAAATACATGCTCTCAATACATGCTGAATACATTAAACATCTAATGTATAACAACAACTCATAGACCAACAGGCAATTCTAAAACACCTGCACTTTTCATCCTTTCATACTTGCACTCATTCCTGTCATCCTCGGGAATTAGTTAACTCACTAACAGTTTCATGATGGTCCATATAGGAAAAAAAAAAACATTAATGGAAAACTGCTGTCAACTTCTCAAGTGCTAAAAAAAAACCTTCAAGTCAAAAAGTAAACAATGTATCCAGTTCTTAGCATAGAAATAATCCAAGTGGCAACTAAAGACACCCAAACAGTTCCAACACACCCAAGTGCAGCGGGCTACACCCTGACTGACAATAAGTAATGACCAGTGGATGAACACTAAGCACCCCAGTCTTAACAATAACTGAGCATCCCCTGCATGCAGGAGGGTGTTGGCACAGGAAAGAAAGGAGGAATAAAAAAAAATGTTTCTTTATTATATTCACTTTTTTTCTGTAGAGAAGTGCTTTTAGCTGAGTCTTAATGAGGAAAAACAAAATAACTGTCTTCCCATCCATCAAAACGCTCCTTGCGTCCAGAGTTCCTTGAATGAATGATCCGGATATCTATCTGCACTATTTTAGATTGGAGACAAAGCCTGTTCCTCTCCTTCCTGAGCCAAGGGAACAGAGGCTGCTCAGTGTGCTTCATTTAACAAAGGACATTCCATCTCACATCAACAAGGTCCTATAATTATTAAGTGTTGAGCTTGAACTGTTTAGCTCAATACTACTCCAACATGCAGCACAGCAAAAGTTAACTGCTTATTGAATTCTTCATCTGGGACATCTGGATGGTGCTCCCACAGCTGCCTGAAAATCCACTCCCAAGTTTCCGTTTGCTCTTCCTCTTTCTCCATAATCTAAGATTTAGTCATGGAACAAAGAAATTACATAAGCACAATCATCACAATTCCAATGGCCTAATGGATAGCCCATATACAACAAAAGACCTAAACAACTTTCTTGTTATTGGGATTTAAAAAAGAATTGGAGCAGGGGCACCAATTGTTGTTCCTTGTGTTTCTGGAGGCCCTCCAGAAACATAAGGGGTGCCCTCAGAATCTTGAAAATAGAACAACTCATCAATGGGCTAAGATTGAAATTTGACTAGACTGCTTTGATCCAGTTGAACTTTTAGAATTACCAAAATTGTCTATTGTCTAAGCCTTCAACTTGTATGTTAGATCCAGTTCCAACCAGGTTATTTAATGAGGTATCCCCTTTGATCTTCTCCTCCATTTTAGATGTAATTAATCTATCCCTGTTAGACGGATATGTATCAAAGGCTTTTAAGGTTGCTGCAATTAAACCTTTGCTTAAGAAACTGTCTCTTGACCCAGATGACTTGGTCAATTATAGACGTATATCCAATCTTCCTTTCTTATCTACAATTCTTGAGAAAGTAGTTGCCAAACAAGTGTGCAACCACTTACACCATAATAAACTTTTTGAAGAGTTTCAGTCTGGCTTTAGAGCTCATCATAGCACTGAAACAGCCCTGGTGAGAGTCACTAATGATATTCTCATGGCCTCAGATAATGGACTTGTATCTGTACTTGTCTTGTTGGATCTCAGTGCTGCACAGTTGACCATAATATTCTTTTACAAAGACTTGAATATTTTGTAGGAATTAAAGGAACAGCATTAGACTGGTTTAAATCGTATCTATCTGATCAAATTCAGTTTGTTCACGTTAATGATAAATCTTCCTCAGGCTCAAGGGTTACCTGTGGAGTACCACAGGGATCAGTGCTAGGACCAATTCTCTTTACTATATATATATGCTCCCAATCGGTAGAATTACTAGACAGCATGGGATTAATTTTCACTGTCATGCTGATGATACTCAGCTATATCAGTCTATAAATCCAGATGAAGCTAACCCATTACATAGATTACAGGCATGTCTTGAATACATAAAAACCTGGATGACTCTTTAACCTTCTGCTTCTAAATGCAGATAAAACAGAAGTTATAGTCTTTGGACCAGAGTCTTTGAAAAAGAAGCTGATTAGTCAGTCACTTCATTTCTGAATGCAGACAAAACAGAAGTTATAGTCTTTGGACCAGAGTCTTTGAAAAAGAAGCTGATTAGTCAGTCATTTAATTTGGATTGGATTAAACTGATTTGAGATAAGTAAAAAATCTTGGTGTTATTTTTGATCAGGACCTGTCATTTAAATCCTATATCAAAGAGGTTTCTTGAATTTCCTTCTTTTATTTGTGGAATATTGCAAAAATTAGAAATATCCTGTCTAGGGGTGATGCTGAGAAACTAGTCCATGCATTTGTCACTTCAAGGCTGCACTATTGTAATTCTTTACTATCAGAAAGTCCACAAAGTTTCAGAGTTATGATGAAAATTAAAGAGAGAGATCATATCTCTCCTATGCTAGCTTCTCTTCACTGGCTTCCTTTAAATCAAGAATATCATTTAAAATCCTACTCCTCACTTATAAAGCCTTAAATGGCTAAGCTCCATCTTATATAAGAGATATGATTGTTCCTTATGTCCCTAACAGAGCACTTTGTTCTCAATCTACAGGTTTACTAGGGGTTTACTAGTTTTAGTCCGTGAGGCAGACACCCTGTCTACTTTTAAGGGTAGGCTTAAAAATGTCCCTTTTGATAAAGCTTATAGTTAGAGTAGCTAAGGTCCTCAGCTATCTCTATAGTTATGCTGTTATAGACTTAGACTTCTGGAGAAAATAAAAATCCTTATTTAATCATTCTGCTTCATTCTATCTCTATTCTCCCACTCTTCAAAATCTGTTAGTTCAAATAACATTATGCTCTCTCTGCTTTTTCTCATAGTAGCTTTGCCTTTTGTGTTCCTGTTTGGCTGTGACTGCTGCCATCAACACCTTTGTTTATAGATGTTGGAGATCGGTCTCTGTTTCTCTGACTGTGACTGGCTGAATGTGCTCCCTTCATCCTCTGACAAGGGAGCTGGCTCGGAGCTCATCTGCCTGACTGTGTGTTTCCCGATGGGACCGCCTTTTACAGCTGCTTTTTGTATCTCAGCTTCTGTCTCCTTGAACCCCATTCGGCCTCGGCAGATGGCGACTTACACCGAGCCTGGTTCTGCTGGAGGTTACTTCCTGTTAAAAGGGAGTTTTTTCCTCTCCACTGTTGCTATAAGCATGCTTAGTGTGAGGGATTGCATCCAAGTCAATAAGTTGATGCAATCAACTGGTTTTCCTTT